TTACCCATTTTTAGCTGGGTGATTTGTCTCTGAATACAAGCGACCAGGCTCAATAGACAATGACACAATGTATAACATTACATACTGTATTGACTTTGTATGAACATTGTCTGCATGCGACGTCTCAATAAATAAATAAATAAACATAGATACCGGTAACAATACAACTAATTAAATACCTTGGGTAAGGGACAACATCCCCATTCACCCGTCGACAGTTTGCAACAAGTGCTTCCATCTGGACATTGAGACTGACCATCAGGACACAATATAGAATTTGTTGGTGTGGCTAAAGTTTTCTTGACCCACGGCATACTGAAGTCACCCTTATTACATTTACCCTGAGAAACATCACATGTTGTACCATTAGGACAGCAATGTAGACCATCAGAGCAGCATACAGCCTGAAAAATACACCAATTGTCATTTAAGGTAAAATGTTACTCGCAATTTTGTACATGTACACATATTTTATGCATATTCAATATTTTATGTCAAAGCTGTCTACAATTATTCACTTTAGTATTAGTTAACAACACTTAACTTTATTAGTTCACTGTCAACAATTTTTGTGGAAAATTTTAGAAATTATACAAATAAATGTTTTAATAGACCACTGAAAACATTTCCTTGATAAAAAACCTACTTAAAACATTTTAAATATTTTAATATTTTTAATACATCAACTAGTACCGTGTGAAATACACATGTCACTGAGCTAAATTTTGAGATATATCTGATCCATTGGAAACAATGGTAAAATGCCCTAAAACAGACTACCATGCTATTTTCAATTTTGTATGGCGACCTCCATATTTTTAGTCCATTTTCTTTTTTCTCGTGACATAAATCGTACTTATGTGTAGTGTTCTATGTTAACAATGTAGAAATGAAGTTGACATGCAAGTATACATTTCAGATACTGATACATTCTTACGCCTATTTACCACTGATACAAATAGTAACTTACCTTTGGTAAAGGACAACAACCATATTTTCCTGTAACCAGTTCACAGTTATATATGTCAATGAGGCATATGCAGGCATTGCATTAGTCTTCTTTAGCCATGGCAATCCAATACGACCAGAATTGCATTTACCATGGGAAACATCACAAGTCGTACCAGCTGGACAACAATGTAGATCATCATTACAGCATACAGCCTTAATAAAAAACAAATTTTTATTAAAACTTAGTTTTGATGGCAACGATCTGCAGAACACAACGACTTGTATCACTCCTGTATCACATTTTGTGTACCATGCCACTGCAACATTGTGTACCATGCCACTGCAACATTGTGTACCATGC